TGGCCGGGAGAGAGAAGGGGGGGGGGAGGAGGAGGATGGACCAAGTTTTAAAACAGCAAAAAAAGTTACAGTTCAAGATATTCCGAGGGATTATAATTTACTCCCCCCTTTTTTTTGCACGTTCCCATTATTTCGATCACTCCCACCTGAAGAGTGAAAAATACACCCGAGCTTCCCGGAAGCGCCATGAAACTTAACAAGGTCGGGAACTTTGCGAGTGCTGAAAACCGGGCGCCAGGCAAGTCGGGGAGGGGTGCTTGGGGAGGGAGCGGAGTGGGTTTCAAATTTTGCCAATATTCGACCGGGGCCGGAGCTTGGGTCGAGAGCATGTTGAGTCGGACGGGGAACGTGATAAATAATCCTACAATCCTAGTTCTTGATTAGATTTAAAAAGTTTTACACCCCCTCTACCCTCAGCCGCACTCACACCAATCCAGGACTGTTCAATTCATTGATGTATAAGGATCGGGGTCATGCTCTTGGCGTCGCGGTAGGGTTTCCAGAGGGGGACGAGGAGCAGTACGATCTGGAAGAAAATAATCGTCCGTGTCTTACAATGGTATAAAAAGTCTGAACTTGGAATTTTTCGCGGGAAATCGAGGAGTCCGGACTCATTATCAGTTCGAAAAGGGGATTAGTTCTTTGGGCTGCACCTCCTCTCCCTAACAATCTTTTTTCACCCCCTTCCCCTTTCCCTTCCCTCGGGACGTCTTCCTTGTCATTCTCATTCTTGCCTCGTTGCTCCGCTGCAAAGCGGAGCCACTTATTGACTCCATTATTTTTATTCTTTTTATTATCATTCTCTATCTCTCTCCTCTCCTTTCCTACACTTTCTCGTCTCCTTTTTTCCAAGAGTCAAGCCCTTACTACCTTAATTAAATTGTGCCCTACTCCCCTCTCCCTCGCCGCATCTTCTCCGCAGCTTCTCAACATTTTCTCCTCACTTCAAAACCAGTTCATTCATCACTCGTCTCGCCAGCTGATAATTCACGCAACTTTAAACATATTTTCGTGACTTTTTGGGATTCTAACTCCTGTCAAGAAAATAATAAAAATAAAAAAATAAATAAATAAGAAAAATGAGAGAAATATTTCCGCGTTTTTTTTGTTCAGTAATTCTTTTTTCTACCGATTGAAGTCCCGTACATAAAGAAATCTTTGACATATTGAACCGATGATCCCATCAGTTTTTGGAAGTTTTTTGAAATAAGTTGCTCGAATATTTTAAACTCGGCTGTCAACTTTTTTCCAGCGTGTTATTTTCACGAATGTCATTTCGCCAGAAAATTGCTCCTTTTTTAGAAATGCAAGAAATCTGCGGAAAGTAAAATTTTAAATGCTCATGAAATTAGTCGAACATTGCCGGTGGGTCAATCTAAAAAGTTTACTTTGACGTTTTGCTAAACAAGTCTATCAGAAAAATTGTTTCGGAAAAAATAGGAAAAAAATTACTCCGAAAAACTTAAAAGGTCTCGAAGGAGGTTTTACTTGTTGGCCTCTGAACAAGAGTGCATCAACGATTTAAAATCAAATTCATTCACACCTAGTGCGCCAAAACTTTTATTCCTTAAAAAAAAAAGTTTTTAAAAATAGGTTACTTTTGTATGGGCCTGATGCCAACTTCAGCAAGAGCAAAAAGAAAAGTTATTCCGTAGCGAAAATGACTGGAAAACCGCGATGCGCGCACCGGGCAGGTCTGAAATTTACCCTAACTTCACAATCTGCGTGAGAAATGTGCGCTTTTTCAAAAAACGATACTACGGCACAGGTGAACATTTCGTAAGACCAGTCGTTTCTTTCAACCCGTACGCATTAAGATGCTACACAATATTCAACATGGCTGACGCTTCCGCGCGCAAGTCGTGAGGAAGCACCATGGTCTTCATAGACGCAAGGAAAATGTGAATATGAACACGCCAGTTGACCGTAGAGTACATAAAGTCGTAATGTAAGTGGGTGAGCTGGCGCCACTTTTAAGCATTTGCCAGGTTCCGAATTCCGAGACTCCTGTGTGACGCGGGGTCACTTTTTCGATACATAATCGATTGTTTGCAATACACGAGTACCCGGCCATTCGATGTAAACAAAGAAGATAGGAATCATCACGTATTCCACACCGCCATTTTGAATCGAACCTGTATCGAAAAAAAGACCCAAACTCGGCGCACACTGGGCTCGGAACTCGTCGAGCAGAACATGGCGCCAGCTCTCCCATTTACATTACGACTCTATGTACTCTATGCAGTTGACAAAGTCTCTTCTTGTCACGTGTGTTTTGGCGGGTCGGGTTGCCATGTATAATTTTATGCAGCGTTCCGCTGCGCAATGGTTAGATGGGACAAATCCTCTCACGAAATGTTCACCTATGCCGTAGTAGCGTTCTTGGCGCAGGAAGCTTGAAGAAATAACACATATTTCCTACGTAGACTGTGAAGTTGGGAGTGTATTTCAGAATTTCTCAATGCGCCAATCGTGAATTTTGAGGTATTGTCTAAAAGGGCTGACCTTTGATTGGACGTATTTCTATCAAACAGATTTATGTGGAGGTGAGAAATATAGGGTGCGCTCGTCAGTTCTCTGGCCGTGAGAGTGAATGAGAATAATAAAGCGCCAGTGACGTCAACGGAGATGGATGCCGTCGTCGGGGCTCCTCGTAGTGGTCATTAACTCATGAGCCCTGTCCATAACGCTCTCGTGCCATGCCCGCGGCTCGTATATCCCGGATTCAGTTGGCACATAGTTATCTTTGCTCAGTTTAAAATCCCGCTTTCCCCATTCTTCAAAAGGAATCATACCCACTTTCACATTGTTTCTCATGCAGCTTTCTAGAGGACACCCCATATTTCTCACCTCCACATATAGTTCTGTTCTGTTTGATGGAAATACGTCCAATTTTGCTCTAGCTGAAGTTTGCAAGAGGCCCATTATTCGAGGTGTCCCAGTGTACGAGTTTTACGACATCACTGACAAGACAGTTAAGGTAAAATCAAGTAAAAATAAAAAAATTACGAATTTTTTGTCTAACAAGTGAATGTTTAAACTTGTACAGTGTTTCAAGGTACTTATTCAAGTACAAGGTAGTTCATCTCCTAGTTCTACCCAAATTTCCTTGAAAATCTCAAGTTATGATTTTTAAAAGCAATAGTGAAAGATGGCATCGATGAGCCTCTTTTATGCCTCCAGTTTGTGTACGGAGAGGACTCCTCTGGTAAGAATAAATCGTCTCGGGAGGACGATCATCGATGGAATTGTTGACTGCTGCCTTTAAAATCAGACCATGAGATTTTCGAAGAAATTCGAATGGAACTGGCGGCTAAATTAAAGTCTTTGTGCCGGTTTGGACATTTGTGAAACAATCAGGGGAAATTTTTGAGCGGGAACTTTCCTTGACACGAAAAAGGAACTTCTCAGCATAAAAATTTAGACTTTCAACGTTAAAATAAAATTGAATACTTTATTTTAACTCCAAAAGTCATTTTAGGCTCTTCGTGACACTGATAAATGAAAATTACTCATCATTTTGTATTCGACGTATGCAGTGCAAACAGCACTGAAAGTCAACACATCAAGACTACTCTTGGCAGGTCGCGGTCGGACCAACATAAAACGCCTTCAAATGCGTGTGATACTGTGCAACACACCCAAGTTGATATAGTTGTATTCTTAGGTTCGAACCTAACTCAAGTGAATTGCTCTACTAAATAGGGCATTTCAGTCTATGGATTTCTGCGTTTCAAGTTAACTCGCATATTTTATGCAAGGTATTATTTTTCAATTGTTATTTTTCATTTTTGTTGTATTTTATTCAAGGTACTTATTCAGGTATATTCAAACATGAGCGCAATGAGAGCCTTGTTTTTTGAGCGTCGGATCAGGTCAGTAAGAGTCGCGTTCACATCTATCGAGTTCGATCCGAGTGGTTTTGGAGAGCAGTTCCGCCCATCAAAGGTAACCCTTTTAGATAATTATTGAGGGCGTTAGGCTCTCTGCAAACGTTGTTGATTGTTTCGTGGAATTAAGATGATTTTGAGCATTCATTAAATTCTAGAAATCACAGATTCTCGGAAACGAAACTTTTTCCCCCTCATTCTAAAGTCCCGATGCAAAAGAGCGCGATTTCCTGTAAAGAAGGTTTGACGTAAACAAGCAGACAGACACTGTTGCAAAATTGCTGCAACAACGACAAAGGCATAATTTACCCTTCACACTAAACAATATAGGTTTTCCTTTCGGCAAAACATCATGACAATAAAAAGGAGCCGTGGGTGAGACCAGTAAACAGGGTACTCAAATACGCATTCTCAAAACACGTCTTCTTAAAAAATATTCAGCTGGAACAGCAAGAATGCATCAAAAGTTTTTGAAGTCGGTGTAGAAAGAGAACACAGCGATTTCTAGTCTCAACTCCCGGAGTTTGCCACTTGCTAAGAGAGAAAAAAAAAAAGTTCAAAGGCAAAACCGGTCAGTTAGTTTTTAGATAGAGTAATGGTCTTAGAGCTATGAATTTTGGTACCTTTTTAAGTTTGAGAGTATCTTCTATCGAAAAAGGAAAACAATTTTTCGGAGCCACACTATATATATCAGCCGAATGTTAATAAGTTGTTTCGAATGACAGATTTGAACCACGTAGATTTTAGTTATTGTCAGTTACAGGTTTTTGTAAGCCTGCGGGCCGATTATTGAAATTTAAACCAGCCCGATAAGACATCGAATTGCGATACATCGCACGGTTAAGATAGGGCTATGTCTTGTCGTAAGCGGCGACATAGAGTCGATGTCATTTCAATAATCGCCCCGCAGCAGTCAGTATTTTTGATGTAAACTGTGACTGTATGTAAACTATAAATTTTAAATTCCCACTAATAAGTAAGTTAAAAATATTTTCATCTGCTTCCACATACCCCGACTGAAAGATGTGAAAATGTGTCTTGAGGTATTTTATACTATGTTTTTTGGTCCATTCTATTCAAGAATCTTACTTAGGACTGATAAAGACTTACTTTTGTGTCGTGTGTCCAGTAAATCAGAGACGGCGGCTCTGGACTGTGTTTAATAACGCACGTTAAATTCATTGTGCTGCCTCTGTTAATGTACAGTTCCGTCCCACCGATGATTGTTGTCACTGGTTCTGAAACAAACGAGAAGAAATTATTGTAATAACAACCGAAGAAAATAATTATTCACTCGTTTCTTCGGTTTTGTAGTTCCCGATGTAGAGTTACGCATATCAATTTGTAAAAACATTTAAAAGACTACAGTAAAAGCTCATTAAGGACGAAATACGGTTAAGACGAAAATCTGCTTCAGAAAAATTTTTTTCGGTCTCTCGACACTTCCATAAGAGTCAATGTAAAAAAAATACGGCTAGGTAAGACGAAATTTCGAAATTTTGACTCGTAACCAAAGCCGGTCAAGGTGATTCGATGGACGCCATATTTCGTGTCAGAATGGAATGCGATATATCGCATCAATTGGTTCCATTTATTCAGCTACTTGTCATTTTTCTCCAATTTTGAGATCGCAATTCTGTTGTCAGGAGGCTAAAGCACTCGCTTACCAATTTTAACGAAGAAATTCAACGTAATAAAGGCGTGGTTTTTTTAGAGAGAAAACATCGCATTCGATACTGATATGGAAACTGCACTCGAATGCGATATTTTCTCTCTAAAAAAACCACGCCTTTATTACGTTGAATTTCTTTGTTACATCGATACATCGCATGCCGTTCTGACACAAAATTTGGCGTCCATCGAATCATTTTAAGACGAAGAAAAATTTCCGATTTTTTCCCCTGAAATTGGGTAAAAACGACAAAAAAGAGCCAATTCTTAGATATTAGATAGTTTCTTAGATAGTACAGCTATTCCAACGGTTGAACATCATCGTCAGATGAAAAAAGAGTAAAAAACGAAAACGCAAAGGGGGACTACCTTGTGGTTGTTTTAATGAATTAACTGATTCAGATAAAACAGAGCAATTCGTCTAGTTTTTACAAACAATAAAAATAGATTTATACTTTATCAGTAATAGCTCACAAGTTAACGTCGTTTCGGACAAAACAGGAGTAAGGGACCCGGGGCCATTCATAAAAATGAATACTTACTTGTAGGTAATGCTTTGAAGGAGGCGAGGGCATTCGCATAGATCGTCACGCAAATATGTTCTTATGGGTTAGGATATTGGGATCTCATAAAAACCTAACGAGGGGGGGTTTCAAAATTCGAGATTCAGCGTTACGTATTTTATGAATAGCCGCTCGGAGTAAACAGATTTCCTGTCAATTTCTAACCTTATAATTTGTCAGTTGTAAGTTCAGAACGACATGACGGAAGCAAGCAGAACATGGTGCTTCCTGCTGCTTTGCCTAACATGAAATATTGAAGGCATTTTACAACAGTCGAAACCTAAATTCGACAATTTTCAATAATGTGAACAATTTATGAGATAACTTCGAATAATTATTGACAATGGAGATGTTGCATGTGTGAGGAATTTGCGATTTGACAATTGATTTTAATGTAAAAGTTCCCGAGAAACACGATGGTGCCATTGGTTTTCCCTGACATCAATTCCCATGCTCAAAAAAAGCTCTCAAGTTAAGGAGCGTAATGGAAGGGATATTCCACGCTATCCTGAGAGTCTACCTCTACACCAATACAAACTCTCTATGCAGAGATAGGGAGCAAATACATTGACAGGACTGCCACTTTATTTGGGGACTATGAAACTGAAAACACGGCAACCCTGCTGATGTATTTGCTCCCTATCTTCGCATGCAGAGTATGTCTTGATGATGTAGACGTGGACTCTCAGGACAGCGAGGGATATCCCCTCCATTTCGGCCTCAACTAGAGAGCTTTTTTGAGCTTGGGATTTGATTTTAGAGAAAACTAGTGACACCATCGTGTTTCTCGCGAACTTTTACAAAAGAATCGATAGTCAAATCGCAAATCCCTCACACATGCAACATCTCCATTTCACGAAAACGATGGATGAAATTATCCGCTAATAGGTACGCTACCAGGCCCAGTATTTACTTAGAGTACCTTTGAAGAACGAGCCGATTGAAAATATGAAATTTTTCCACGAAAATGTGGCGACATTGGGTGAAAGGTGGGTGAGTCCTCACTCTCTAGCAGCTGAGATTCGCGAAATAAGCTGACATAATTTTGAGCGTGAGAGTGAACCGCAGCTCCAAGTGCCATGCACGAATGAGTTGTGAGTTAAAACTTCCAATTCGCAATCCCCACACCCTAAAACTTACTCGCCGTTGCCACGTAGCAGTAAACCGAATGCATGGGCGTACGAAAGGAGGGGGGGGGGATCCTGGCCCTCTAGAATTGAAAACAGTACCATCTACCCCCCTCCCCCAGAAATTCTAGATGACGGAAAAAAACCTTAGTCGACGATGATTATCTCTCTCAACGTAGTGTCCTGAATGAAAATACCGTGTTCATTAGATTGAAAATATTTGGGCCCAAGGATGGTTTTGAAATTAATGAGACCTGCGGGCCAAGACCAATTATAAAAATTGATTAACAAAGAAGATGACGGAAAAATAGAGCGATCCTATTGTTTGCAACGGGTTGGTTTTATGGACTAAGGGGTATAGATTAGACTAACTATAGGGTCCATATCGTGGGTTACCGTGAGTTGGACCATTACCTACCTCTTTTGGTCATTCCAACCACTCGCATTCACCAATAGGATCGCTCCATTCTCCCTGTGTCTACAGCTTGAGCTATTAATTTAAAATCTCAGCCCGCTATAATTTTTTTCAGTGCTCACCATTTCTGACTCCTCGTTATGCTCGCCGTTACCTCCCAATCTTGTGGATTCCGGCTTCCTTATCTAGGAAATTTTACCGATCCTTGACTCATTTGGACGTATTTATGCGAAAAGGAGATATGTGGAAGTGGAAAGATGGGGTGTGCTCGTCAGTGGTCGGGCCATAAGAATGAATGGGGAATATAAAGCGCCAGTGACGTCAACGGAGGAGGACGCCGCGTCACGTTCCTCGTGGTTGCGGTAGTCGTGGGCATTAACTCATGAGCCCTATCCACAACGCTCTCTTGCCATGCCCGCGGCTCATGAGTTAGCATATTTTGGCGTTTAGCTCCTTTTGATTTAATGTCAAAGCCCGCTTCTCAATTTTCTCAAAAGGAGCTATATCCACTTTTACATTGTTTCTTATGACCCAACTAACGAGCACACCCCATCTTTCCACTTGCACATATCTCCTTTTAGCATAAATACGTCCATTTGGCACGTGGGTCTTTCCTCTAAACCCCCGATTTAGTATCTCGCCATCGCTTAGAATAATTAGTTTCATGCACGTGTGAGTTGAGCATCCTGAGCCTGCATGGCTAGCGCGATGGCAAAATGTGCATGATCGACTATAGATTTTCCTCCCTTTATGGATCCTTTTCCATGTGTTCAATCAGGAGATTGATGGAGATACTGCAAAGGCTGGCGAGGCTAGGATTTTTGGGAATTCCCTTCGGGTGATGGCAACGTGGAAGAGACGGCTGCGGCTGCGGCTGTCCGGAAAGAGCTCCGCGCCCAAGGTGGAGCCCGGAGCAAGCGAGCTTTGCTTTGACTTCACATGTCGCACAGCGCCGTGTTTGTGTCATAACATTCGCAGAGACTAGAACGATAATATAATTGAAATCGGGAGGAGGGGGCAGGCAACCGGGTGGAAGAGCCTTTCCAGGGGGAGAATTCAGATGGAGGGCTGGCGGCGGGGGCGGCGGCGGAATTGGGTCGCTTCGGCAGCAAAGGAATAGGTGGTGAATCGTAGGCGACGAGCAAAGACTCTTTAGTCTTCTGCTCCTGATAACCTATTCCACGTTTCAGGCCCTTCTTTTTGCTGGGCCACGATGCCGGCTCCAAAAATATCATTCTTGAAAATGACCGCGTTTTCCGCTCAAGTCACGAGCACTTGACTTTTCGGAAATGAACCACTGGACAAGGTACGAATTTCAGCGTTCCCATATATGTTTCATAATTAGAATTTCTCGTAAAACACGATGTTTGCATAGAAAATTCCGGAAATCAACTCCTAACTAAGATATCAATTTTTTATTTTACATCGGCCACGGGGATTTTGAATTGCCCGGTCACAAGAAACGCAATTCTCTACGTGAGTCAAATCGAACCACACAACAGTTTTGGCAGGCTTCTCAATCGACCATCGTTCCTTTTCCACCCGTTATCGTTCAAAGTGTAAATAATTAGCAATAGCTGAGCCAAAGCGTCAAGATTGAGGTTTCCAGATTTTCATATCGCAGAGATTGTCATGGTAAAGTTTAGTGAGCGATTTGGCTCACGTAATTTATTGTGCTTATTTGAGCGAACGGCTTGAATTCAATCGTCGAGAAACATTAAATATCTTATTGTTAGTTAGGAGTTGATTTCAGAAATTTTCGATGTACGCAAATCGTGTTTCGTGTGAAATTGTATTAAAGATGCATTTATCAGAATGCTTAATTTCGTACCTTGTCTAGGAGTCCATCACAGTCCCTCCAGTCCGCAAGGAATAAAAACCCGTTATTGCAAAAAAAAAAAATATATATATATTTCAGAGGCCCCGCACTAAAAATCTAGGCAATGTAGTCGGTTGAGGCAAAAATTAAGTTTGAAAGTCACCTCTACTTCTTGAGTAAAATAATCAAATGAAATTTTCTTGATGATGGGGCCATCCCTAATTTACGCAACTCTCAATGGGGCAGGGGAGTCAAAAATGCCGTAAAAGTGCGTAACGTAATTTAAGGGCGGCCATATACCAATTTGTCAAGTCACTACGTCATTCGATATAATATTGAACCCAGTGTCTCAAACCAAAACAAATACATCACCTTATGGACAAATTCTGTGAAAAGGTATCGTGTTAATTCAAAACAATTCAGTTATTAAACAGGTCATAAACCAAAGAGGGGCTCATTGAACACGAGAAGTTTTAATTGCATGAAACACTTATACAATTAGACGAATTGTACCACCATGGCCCGCAGGGTACGAATCAGAGACAATGTTTTGTGTTTGTTTACAATTGAACCGTAACGTAGCCACTAAATCAGTCTTTATTATGCAAAGAGCGATGACTTCCGAAAGTAACTTTTACACCTT